ATAGTTTAGTCGGGCAGTTGATCAGTATGGGCATTGGGCATGTATGGGAGAGCGTGCGCACACTACGCCGATTCGATTTGGCTGATTCTTCATACAATTTAAAATCGGGCACAACTATCGGCCAACTAAAAATCAACGGTGTGCGCCTACTCTTACATGCAATACCAAAGTAGGTATAGTATTGTGCATAAGTTACCATTGGTTTTGCCTTAACTATATTTTTCATCGTAGCCTTTTAACTACACGTTTTTCGTACCTGTTTTATCATTAAAAATGTTTATACCAAAAACTGGAAAAGGTTGACATTTTTTTCAGGAATTAACCCTTTTGGTAAAAATACAAGTCTTTTATCGACAGTGCATTTTTTGCAGCACTAAATGCTAAATAAAGGTGCCACTAAAGGGTTTGCAACGCAAAAGGAAAGTGAAAGATGCAAATAAACTGTTGGCTTTTCGCTTATATTTTCACCTTTGCCAACTCAAGGATGGTGTTCGCTATGTTATTATGTTTTATGGGACTTCATAAGGGTTGTTGTGTTTTTCGAATGGTGCGTGGAAGTGTTATAAAGGAGGTACAATGTAGTTTAACTGGACTATGGATCGTATCGTCATGCTATATTGGATTTACGCGTTTCACTTTTACTTGCAATTTTCAGTCTTTGTCTAAAAGTAGTGTCTACAAATCAAATCATCAAAAAAGGTCATAGAGAGTACAAGACGTCGTCGACATGATTCTTTTGAAATAAAGTCGCCGACATCAAATCGCCAGGCTTGGTGTTTGTAGAGTCCTTTAAAATGACTTTTACAGAATTTTGTTGCAATTTATAGAACTGCAACAGGCTTTTTTTCGTTCCATTGACGAACGTCGAAAACATGTAACTACGAAGAATTCGTTTTTCACAGAGGAATTTTGTGACGTTGCAAAAGCTGGCAGATATTTTTTTGTTTCTTGTATCATGGATGCATTTTTGTGACATCGGGAATGTCGAATTCCGATGGAGCTATTCCAAAACGCTGGCGAGGGTGCCAAAGTGGATTATTTTCCAATAGAAGCGCTGCTAGTGTAAAGCTTCGGCCAAACCAACGCGTGCAGCTCGCGTCGGCGATGGCGATGGCGAACACTGCTCGTGCATAGATCGCCGCGACCAATGATAGGACGCGTTGATGTGAACTTAGCGCTACAAATTCATACACGACATCAGTAGCCTAATTTACGCAACAAAACTTCAACAACATGCAAGCGATTTGATCGCTGGAGTCATTTTTCTTAATCACGTGTTAATAGTCCGATAAATCAAATCAAATCAAATCAAATCAAGATATTGTTTCGATTTCGTTTTTATGCGTATTCAATCGTTGCCTCCGCGGTATTCACCTATTACCTATTTTGAAGTTTGGTTCAAGTGATTAAACGTCAAATGGAAAATCGCTAAGTTGCGATCTTATCGAGTAATCGTTCCATCGTGACATGACACGTGAATACGGATTTAGGACTGTTTTTCAATAGGGCGACTTCTAAACGTCAACGAGATTTTGACTGTGTCAAAATATGTGAATTAGGCCACTGATCGTCATCGCCATCGCGCATACGGATTGCACGCGTTGGTTTGGCCGAACATTAACGAAATTAATCTGGCTTGGAAGCCATTTGCGATCGAATGCATCGCTGATGCGCTGTAAAGTGAATTATCTGCCTTTAGTCTTGTTAATGTACTTGATGACACATTATTTAATGGATAATGGTACGAGTTGATGGAAAATGGAACGTTAATAAACTAGTAGATCGGAATTTTTAATGAGTAGGTAGTAGGTATTTCTATTAAAATGGAATAAGTTAAAAATACAGCTCCGTATAATATTGTTTCATAAGTTTTCACACTTCTCATTAATTTGATACAGGTTTAGATTGGACTCAAAAAAGGACACACACCTTTTGACGAAATGTCACTTAAAAGGGGCGAAAAAAGAATTACGTAACTTGAAAAATATCATTCGTTCTTCATCTAAATACCAAGAATTAAAGCTTTATCAGTTATTTTAAATATTAAAACAACTGGTAGAAGTCATGAAATAATATAAAGCATTCAATTCAAATTCGTTACAAAACATTTTCACTGCCTGTCGTAAAACGCCTTGAATATTCCTGTTAATTTATTGCTGCTGTTAAGAAACAATTTACCATCAGAGGTTAAATATTTTAGACGGGGAATGCAAAATAATTATAAGTTGAAGTTGCTTGCATTTAGATATAGTTTTAATTTGATTGACACTAGATTTTCGTACCTATGTACGCGACGTGTTCAAAAACTACAAGTGCTTGGAGTCTCAAATTTTGCATGGGGGTTCCTTTTAGAACGTAGGTCCTCACTAAGACGGGATTTTGCAAAATTCAACCCCTTAGGGGGTAAAACGGGGTTCAAGCGTACAAAATCGCGGGCTGCCGCTAGTAATGTATAACATGAGGCGACATCTTTGTCAAATATCCTTGTCAATTACACTATTATCTCTGTAGTAAATAAAAAGTATTAAATAGTAAGTAATGATTTGATTTGAATTCGAATAAAAGGCCGTAGGTGGTATAATTTATACTGGCTACTTATAGCTCCTAACAATGATCATGGAGGATGAATAATAAAAGTAATCTCGTTAATCATCGAATTTAGAACGATGAAGAATCTAGATGAAAAATTCTAGGTAAATAGTGTGCCCATTAATTGCATTTAACCCTTAAAACTACTTTCGTGTCTACAGGATTTCCGTTACTCGAATAATGGAAGGTACGTGTAATGGAACGTAGTCTGTGGGTAATAGGATATTCGCTCTGTGGTAGAGCTCTGACGTGCACTGAGTTTGAGAGGTTTGGAACTTGGTAAAGTTTTGCTCAGTTAGAAGCTTTGGTTTAAATTGTACAAACGTAGGTAAATACTGTGGCGCCTTGTGTACTGTAGTGTTTGTTTGCAATATAATCCGGGCCTTTTCAAGGCAAGAGCGAATAGGCACTTACAGGGCAGATATGTACCATCCTAGACTGCATCCCACTTAACACCAGTTGCGATTGTGGTCAAATACCTGCCTTGTAATGCATAAAAAATATAATTGCACTCATATAGCGGTCGCTCTACTATACACTACATACATAGGGACACTTATACGTATTATTAAATATTTATTTCCTAAAATATTTTCGTTGCCAAAATAAAAGAAGAAGAAGGGATCATTTCTTAAGTGTCAATTAGGATACTTTANATACTTTATTTATAAAAATACTTCTGTAAGGTTACAGATAACAAAATACTTGTTACGGCTGAAATAATAAATAAAATTAAATCCCTAGAAAAGCCCAAAGTTAAAACTACAGAATAAATACCCACTAACGAGTAAAAATACTGAAATGTAAGTTATTCAATTTTTATGAAATCAATAGAGAATTGTTTCCATGATATTTATGGGTTTCTTCCCAGCTTAAAACACATAGAATAAGGATACTAAAGACACAACAAAAGCTGCATATCCTTTATGATCTTTGCCTGTTCCAAGTTTAAACACGAGTGAGTTCACGTCAGACAAAGGTCAAGTGAAACGGAACACCGTGATAGTGTCTATTGTACAGTCCACACGCGAGACAGAACTTTATCGAAGTAAATTATCTGAGAACACTGCAGCGGTTAGTTGATAATGCCGGGCAATGTACTGTGACATGGTTCTATATATTCTGTTATTTACATAGTGGTGGCACGTGCGGTAAATTATAAGCTGAAAGTTTAGGTTTCATAAACTGTTTTCATAAATTACTTTTAAATCATGACTGATTGGGAGTGAGCTTTACATTGTGTGGTGGCTCGCTACTGTTCGTTTTTCAAACTTACGCCCGTTTTGTCAAACGATGCTTGCTTAAGTAAAACAGCAAATCGAACGCACAGCGTTGAATAGAGCTCTGTGATTGGTTCGTATGTCACCCTGTGCGTCCACGCGCACTGTGAGACCTCATAGTAATGTTTGTAAATACGGGCGTTAGTTACCTCCCTCTTAACACTATTCTATGCTATTCTATTCCAACAACCTTGGGTATAATTACAACTCCAAATGTGACCAGCTGTAAATTAGAATTAATTTTAGTTGGTTCGTTGTATAACTCAAATTGTGGAGCTGAAGTTTCAGTTTCAATTACCAAATGTTGGGTAGTTAGTACATTATTTGCAATGGCGGTACTTTCGAGCGAATAATTACGGTGTTGGAACTTGTTTAGTTATTATCACGNGTAATGTATGAAGAAAGAGCTTCTTTTCTGTACCTACCTATGCCCGTGTAATTTTGATCGGTGTCAAATCGGAGTTTTCGTGCGGGGTGCGCGAGTGTTGTGCGAAGCGTGAAGGTCAAACGCTCAAGGTCATTGAGGACTCTAATCGCCTTAAGCTGACAACAATGTGTGTTATCCGGCTCGAAGGACCATATTTATGAAACCTAATATAAACGAATTTTCTTAATTTACTGTAAGCCACGATAGATCGTTATTTTAACATAAAAGTTTCCCGGCAACTATGTATAAAATAATCTTTATACAGCGTGTATCTGACGGCGTGTAAAAAAATTAAAGAGGGAATTCAGTTACAGATTCTGATTCCGAATCAAGAAAAAAAAATAGTAGGCTTATTTTTTTATCAAATAATCCTCACTTTTCTCGACTCATAGTAACCGCGTTGTAATAGTAAACGCGGCTTTACCCGAATCCACAGCGCGCGTGCTCGCCGTCTTTCGGCGCGCTTCAAACAAACACCGCCACGTCGCCGGCGGCTCGTTTGAGAAGCCGCCGTCCATTTGTGCTCAGTTCATTTTTTTTACACGTCAGATACACGCTGTATGTTTCTCTAATTTATACAAGTCGCAACATTGAAAAATTATATCAACGACTGACGTCACTAAAGTAAGTTATTTTACAGTGCATTTTTAAATTCAATTGACTGAATGACTATTTATGTGAAATCAAATAAACTATTTCAGGAATTAGTTGCGACCAATTACTGGCCCCCTTTCGAATTTGGACTTTACACCAATGCCATTAAATTCAAATTCAAGTAAATTGTCGTGTGTGTAAAAGGATACAAGTCCGTCGAAGTCCTCGCCACACCACTGCAGTAACTGCTTGAGTCGCGTCCGGTACTTGTTGCTTGTGGACTGCGTCTCGCCGATGAGCGCGGAATATGTGCAGAAGACCACGCCCTTTTTGACATTGCCGTTGACCGCTGATGAGATCTTGGCGTATTTGAACTGCGGGAGAGGAGATACTGTTTAGTACAGATGCTAATATGGTATTCAGGGTGTTCAAAAAAGAGCGTGATAAACTTGAGGAGACGATAGACAAAGCCTAGGCGCTTTTTAGTTGGCCGATAGTTGGGCCTAGATTTTAATTTGTATGAAGAATCGGCCGATACCAAATCGGTGTAATGTGCACACTTTCGTCTCTCCATATTGATTAACAGCCAGATCCAACTATCGGCCAACTAAAAATCGGTGGTCTGCGCCTAGGCTAATGATGACCATCTATAAAAAAATACTTTAGTAAAAGTATCACCATTTCAGATACGATTTTTTTATGTTTTTTAAAATCCCCAAGTTTGAGCCTATCTCTTGTTGCTGTGTGTACAAATGACCAGATATTTTTCAGGAAGAACAAGAAAAATATCTGCAATAATAATTATCAGGTTATTTAGTCTATAGTGCAAGAGGATAACCCTCTCTGATATACCAGAAACAAGAAAGGATTTAGCCTATACTCCCCACCCTGGCCAGACAGGTTGGGGAGGCCTGATGGTCTCATTTTTCTCCCTTAGCCCCATGAAATCAACTGAAAAAGAAATCCACTTGATACAATCATAGCTTAGCTGAAGACGAGTATGACATATAACTGCTTATTGTCCACGTCCACGGACTGGAGGCTAGGTACCGGAAAGACCAACGACCTCATAAAGGTAGCAGGAAGGCGCTGAATGCAGGCCGCCACCAACCGGCCATTGTGGAAATCGTTGGGGCCTATGTTCATCAGTGGACGTCCTATGGCTAAAATGATGATGATTTGCTGTCCAAAATGTCTATTATACCTTGTTCAACGGGTGAACCTCAATCTTCCCCGCGCCGATGTCCCTCAGATCCCTCTCCGCGTCATACTTCAGATCGTTAGACACTGAGACCCAGATGGCGCGCTTGCGGCCCTTCAGGTAGTTCTCGAAGATGATGCCCGCGATCGTGCGGCCTTTTCCCACGCCGGCACCGTCACCTGTGGACAACATTTTAGTTGGTTATTTTTTTATCTACTACAACGAGGAAGCTTTTGGCCTGCATCTCACCTGATGAAATGAAACACCTAATGAAATATAAATAAAATAATAAAGTATTCATGGGATGGGCTTATAATGCCAAAACTATGAATACTTACAAAGATACAATAGACTATTTTGAGACACGTCATCCTTTGTATCCGTCTATCTTTTATAGTCTGGTCTGCAAGCACGTAGAATTTTGTCCAATGACCCCAAGCTACCCACCGTTGCTTGGGGTCATTGGACAAAATTCTACGTGCTCACAGACCGGGCTTTAGGTGGTGCAAGCTTCACAAACATTGTAGCCATGTTAATGAGGCACGTATAACCGCGAAGTTCTATGGCCAGGGTATGCAAGCCCACCATAGCGCGGAAAGCAAGACAAAATTCTGCGGTAGTCTATTGGTACATTAAAACTGCAAATACTCTTTCTTCTCCGACGCAGGACTGGTGACAGTGAGAACAGAGCTATACGCCCGTTTTGCTCGTTGATTCTGCTCGTCTGTGTCATATGCCACATTCCAAGGCTCCTTGGACTAAGAGAACTGGGTACAATCCGAGTACAGTAAGCGTCAAATAGTTCGTGACACTCAATGTGGGCAAAAAGTTGATAACACAACCTTATTCCAACTGTAACAAAGACGCATTGCGAACTTTTTGGCTACTTTGGGTGTCACCAACATTTGACGCTGACTGTGCATGTCAAGGCCTGATATCCTCACCGATAAGGAACCCGGCCCGGGAGCCGTCGGGCAGCTTGTGCTCGTGCGCCTGCGAGGCGTAGACCACGGCCTCCAGCTGCAGCGCCGACAGCAGCCCGTTGCGGATGGTCTCGTCCGGCAGGCTGAGCTTGTACGTCACGTCCACAGGCTCCACGGAGGAGGGACGCCGTCTCGACTAGAGGGAGGCTATCTCAACTAGAGAGGAGGCTGTCTCGACTATAGAGGGAGGCTGTCTCAACTAGAGAGGAGGCTGTCTCAACTAGAGAAGTCTGTCTCAGCTAGAGAGGAGGCTGTCTCAACTAAAGGGGAGGCTGTCTCAATAGAGTGATGGCTCTCTCAACTAGAGGGAAAGGCTCTCTCAACTAGAGGGAGGCTGTCTCGACTAGAGAGGAGGCTGTCTCAACTAAAGGGAGGCTGTCTCAACTAAAGGTAGGCTGTCTTAACTACAGAGGAAGGCTGTCACAACTAGAGGGAGGCTGTCACGACTAAAAGGGGAGGCTGTCTCAATTACTCCGCGTACACATCATTCCTGTGGCATCAGCAACCCTCACCGATAAGGAACCCGGCCCGGGAGCCGTCGGGCAGCTTGTGCTCGTGCGCCTGCGAGGCGTAGACCACGGCCTCCAGCTGCAGCGCCGACAGCAGCCCGTTGCGGATGGTCTCGTCCGGCAGGCTGAGCTTGTACGTCACGTCCACAGGCTCCACGGAGGAGAGGGACGCCGTCTCGACCACTGGGTCGGGGTGCTTGCGGCCGAGTTTTACTGTAAGATAGAACACACTTTATTGTACATCACACAAGACAAGGAAAGAAATAAATATGCACAATTTAGGCAGTAAGACATGCAATAAAGACAGAACTTGATCGTTGAAACACTGTTTTTTATGTTAGGCTACGGTCTCCTATTAGACGCTATACGCGGCGAACGACGTCAGCGTCAAACGTTCCTATTAACATCCATACGCCGACGTCATTGTAACGAGGCCTATAACATGATGCTGTACGCGGTCTACGGCTTTTATAGGAGACCACAGCTCAACACAATAGAACGTCAAAAAGTCAATGTTCAAAATATACTTATGTTTTACTTATTAACACGAAAAAGGTTATTATTTATGTTTTTCTTTGTTTACGCCGATTTATGTATTAGAGGCATATCTTACATTTTGGAGGCATATAATCTGCGTATGTTTCAGCGACCCCCATCTCTTCATCATCCACTTCTTCTTCGTCTCCGGGCATCTAAAAAAGAACATTATTTTAATAAAATACATATAATTAATCGAAATATCTCTATTCTACACGTACTTACAGTACCTATTCAACATACACGGAACCTCTCGAGCAGTTGTAACTGCTTCGGGCGGTTGACAGTACCGTGAAATTTCAATTGACAATAACTGCAAGAGCGGTCCGTGTATGTTGATCACTGGCTAACTGCTCAAGCTGTCCATGTATGGCGGGCCTAAGATACAAAGTGTTGGCCCGCCTTGAGCTGCCCCAGGTGGTAGCCGCGCAAACTGTCCCAGCATGCCTGTTTTGAAAGGCCCGCCCATGCCGGACGCAAATATCTGGTTCACAATACTGAACCTTAACAGTTAGAACACAAAGTACACGTTACCTTGTCAGGCTGCCACATGCCAGCCGCCTTGGGTTGCCCCCATGGGGGTAGCTGCGCAAACTGTCCCAGCATGCCCGCCCATGCCGGACGCTAATATCTGGCTCACAATACTGAATCTTAACAGTTAGAACATAAAGTACACGTTACCTTGTCAGGCTGCCACATGCCAGCCGCCTTGGGTTGCCCCCAGGGTGGTAGTTGCGCGAACTGTCCCAGCATGCCCGCTAGAGGCCCTCCCATGCCAGACGCCAGTATCTGGTTCAGGTTTTGTAGCAGGTACGAGTTCATGCCGGGCATTGTGCCCACCATTTCCACTGAGAACGAGAGATATTGAGTTAAGCCTTGCTGTCCACGGCAGGGTAGCGTACTGTGTACGCGTCTTTGTACGTTTGGTGTACGCCTGTAGAAAATGTCGCTTACGCGACGCTGCCGCTCCGTCGACAGAGTTACATTTCTTTATAGGCATACAATGTCGCGTACGCGTCTAGTATGCCACGCCACTGTGGACAGTGACGCTTAAGACATTTAAAGGGGTGTACGAGCAACATTTTTCGCCAATATGACAGCAATATTGTGTCAGTATAGCGGCAATCTACGTTGGATAGGGAAAATGCTGATGTTTTGACAAGTTGTACCAAAACATTGTTGCCCATATTATACTACTGTAAAAATGTTGTTCGTTCAGAAGACTTACACCCGTATTCACAAACGATGCTTGCTTGAGTGAAGCAGCAAATCGAACGCACAGCGTTGAACAGTTCTGTGATTGGTTCGTGTGTCACCCTGTGCGTCTACGCGCACTTTGAGATCTCATGGTAATGTTTGTGAATACGGTCGTTAACTTGATAAGGTCAATTCTTGAAAGCATTTCGTTGAACGCCCTATCAGCGCTATTTGTCTCGCTCTCTCATGTTAAGGTAGAGCAGAAAATGGTGAAATCCATTAGGATCGATTGCTGTAAAGATAAGAATGCTCTATAATTGGCTTTCTAATGGAATTAATTACATAAGAATTGATTAATAATGAAAATGAAAAAAAAATGCGTCTAAAACGCAATAGAGCGCATCTACGCAATGTCATTACGCATGTCAGAAGCTTACTAAGCTTACGAATGACAGCACATCAAGCCAAACACTATCTTATGTGATAGTTTTTATATTTCAACAAAAATGCAGTCTGATATCCTATGAACTGTACAACTCTGTCGGAGGCCATAAATTTTGTTTTTAGAGAATTTAATAACAGGCGATTTAGAGCGAACTGCTTTCAAGAATTGCATTTATGAAATATACTTTGAAATGGCTCCTCAAATGCGAGTTTATTAAAATTTGATTACGGGGATTTCAGATTTGGATTTTTATGTCTCTCAGCTATATTTTTAACCGGCTTAACTTAACCAAAGCGAGTATCACACCGACTACTTACTGACCGAAATGCAATGATATTTTTTTAAGATTTTTATTTTGACTTTTGAACTGCAAATCGCTGCTTGATTCCATACTTTTACTTTACTTTCTGTACAAGGAATACTTTTATACTGTTATATCAGTCACTTTATAGATAAAAAAAGAAAACCGCAAATGAGAAGCCCTTTAGTTTAGTATACAGATGTAGGAAAAAATATTTTATAACGCAGCAAATACACCGAAAGCTTATAGTTCAAACATTTATACTCCAAGTCTACCATTCTTCAGAAAACAACCAAATAACATGAAAAACTGATAAAAAAGGAAAATAACTATTGTTCAAAATGCATACACAACAGGATACAGATCGGTATCTAACTTTCATAAAGATATTTACATGACAATGTTACGGTGAAGGTTAAAACAGAATTTATAACAAGATTCTATAAAGTACTAAAGAACAAGAAAAAAATCATATCAGTACATTTAAAGTCAAATAATAGGATGCAATAAAGAGAATCAAAATAGCTCATTAGTAAGAAATTAAAAAGTAATTAAGTCAAAAATAATAAATAAAACATAACAATCGAGTGCAAATAAGCCTAAATCTACTGTAAATACATCAACATCCCACAAGACAAACAGTATTCAATGCTAAATACTACGACCACAAAACAAAGTGCTCCAATACTACGACCATTATTAAAATAACATAATTTATCAAATCAAAAAACCATTAAATGTTCTACCAATATAATATCTCCGATAGTCATTTGACGGCTCGCTACAACAACTTCGAACATCAGAGTTTAGGGGCACTCCAGACATGCCACTTTTAGCATCAGAATCGCGCGTTTTAACGACTCTCGATGAAGCATCACGATTTCGCCACTTCTTGCGTTCGGACTAGAGGTGGGCGCCACGCCGGCGCGCCGCCGCCGCCGCGAATTTTTTCACGCCGCCGCCGCCGACGAATAGCTGTCGGCGCGCCGATACTGATACTGTACCAACTATTTGCAATTTATTCCTCTCCTATACTGTGCTAATTTGTGTTTCGAACGCAGATTTTTTTTATTGAGTTGAGCGACTATTCTAGTTCAATAAAGTCCTAGTATCACTACGACCGGCACCGATCTATTGTGATCGGCGCTATCTTCCTTACAGTTCGTCTTTGAGTCCTGCATCCATTAGGAATTGCAGTATCTTTTGGGGGGCGATATGTTTTACATCTTGTGGGCTTAGGATGTGTTTGCCTAGGTGTAAGCTCCGCTTGCGCATCGAAGGTCCGCAGCCGTGAGAATATGTGGTGGCGTTTCATCTGCCTCTTGGCACATCCTGCGCGTTCTTGATTCGGACAGTCCCATAGTGGACGAGTGCTTGTTTAAGCTGCAGTGTCCAGTGAGGGCTCGAACTAAGATGCGCATTTTGATCCTACTCAGTCCTATAATCTGCTTAGAGCATTTTCGGTCATAGGCTTTTATGAGAGCTTTGGAATGAGTTAATCCTGGCGTGTCTGACCATGCCTTAAAGGATTTGTTTTAATAGATGTTCTCCAGGGTCATTCAAGCGAGACTTTTGGGAATGCCACAAAAGGGTTCTTGACCATATTGTGTTCCCCCTCCGCTCGTCGCTTAGNAATGGTTAAATAAATGTACCTTAACATTGTATTTATCAGCCAGCGATAATACGGGAAGCACAGTCTGATGGGATATCCGAATTTGTCCAGTGTAAAAGTACCTGAAAAGACCAAATATAAATTGGCATATTTCTTAACATAACCATGATTTGGAACTTGAAATTGACTGTCTCAGATGGGATTAGAACCCGTAATCTTGTCACCCCTATGAAAACAAAATTCCTATTATAAGTATGTGTTATCAATATCATAGGGGTCACTTAAAATTAGGGATTGATGGTGAAAACGAGCATTAGACGCCTTCACATTAAAGGTAGCCTTTCGAACTAAGCGTCACAGACGCACCGTCTTTAGGTTTGGTCTTGTGCCACCAACGCCGCGTCACTAACTCGCTTCGAAAGGCTACCTTTAAGACCAAAGCTAAAGACGCTGCGTCTGTGACGCTTAGTTCGAAAGACTACCTCGAAGATCAAAGCTAAAGACGCTGCGTCTGTGACGCTTAGTTCGAAAGACTACCTTTAGGCGTTAGAAGCGCGACAGCAGCGCGGCAGCGGCGTTTTAATAATGTGAAGGCAAGAATTCGCTGTCTTAAAGTATGAAATTATCGGCAGCGCGTCTGTAGCGGGTTTGTCGCGCTGCTAAAGTCGCCTAAATGTAAATGTAATAACGAATCCCGCGCGCAGACGCGTTGTCAGTGTGTTGTGCCGCGCGTGTTTTCTATACAAACTGAGGTACTTGCATACAATAATTAAATCTGTCGTCCCGCGTACCGCGGCGGAGCGCGGTGTAGTGTGATAATCGCCTTAGTGTGGAAATTTTTTTAATAGTGAATTACTTCAAAAAATGCGGGAACACAGAAGCGGCGGTTGGTGTCTCCTGCAGTACCACGCGGCTCTCCCGCCATTCGCTCCATTCACGGTTCATCAACATGACCTGGAACAAAATTGTAAACATTTTTTTATACTTTTAATAGTTTACTTTATTTTGTGTTCATCAGTTCTCAAAAATGTAGAATAGAATAATCTTTGATACTAGCACAGTATATATATGAGCTAAAGCAGTACGGAAACTAGGCCCTTTCGGCGAGTTAAATACCTACACTTCAATTGAGTGTGAGGGTTGTCGCGCGGAGTCGTCCGCGCGCGTCCCTTTGTCTGAAGTTTTTAGAGTGACTAGACATTCAGCTCATTGGCTTATAACAATACCGTTTTTAACGTTTTAGATTTTTCTCCATTAACAGTACTTAGTTTTCAAAAAAAATGTGTAAGGTAATAAAAAAAACGTTCAACTATTCAACATAATACGATGTCTTTATTTTTTGTTAGTTAGGTATAAGAAGTTACATATAAACTAGCAAATCAAAATCGAATCAAATTACTTATCAAATAGAACAGATAAATTGTTAAGAAGCGTAATTACGTAATTAATTAAGCATTTTATTTAAAAAGTAATATCAAACTATTTTCACCTTTCATTAAACGCAATACACTCGTGGCATGTTTTTAAAAATACAGCGGACAGCGCATGCAATACAATTATTATTAAATTAAAAACACAACGCGCGCGACACCCGCGACGGATGGACTGCGAGGTTCGCTTAGAGCTCGTGTAAAGCGTGCGTCTGTGTGCGTGAGTCTGATTTCGAGCGTTTGTATGAAGCTTCCGTACTGTTTGATTTATCTACTGTGGCTTTACATTGTGTGGTGGCTCGCTACTGTTCGTTTTTCAAACTTACGCCCGTTTTGTCAAACGATGCTTGCTTAAGTAAAACAGCAAATTGAACGCACAACGTTGAATAGAGCTCTGTGATTGGTTCGTATGTCACCTTGTGCGTCCACGCGCACTGTGAGACCTCATAGTAATGTTTGTAAATACGGGCGTTAGTTACCTCCCTCTCAACACTATTCTATGCTATTCTATTCCAACAACCTTGGGTATAATTACAACTCCAAATGTGACCAGCTATAAATTAGAATTAAGTTTAAGTTCGTTCGTCGTGTAACTCAAATTGTGGAGCTGAAGTTTCAGTTTCAATTACCAAATGTTGGGTAGTTAGTACATTATTTGCAATGGCGGTACTTTCGAGCGAATAATTACGGTGTTGGAACTTGTTTAGTTATTATCACGATACATAATATAAACTTCTCAAAAGCCTTACATAAGTTCGTCGCTTGCCTCTCCAACTGACATTTTTTTTCTAAACTGAGTTATCTACACCATCTTAATCAATTTTGCAAGACGAATCGATCTGTCTAATCGCCTGAAAATTTTGCAAAATGTCAGTTACGTTAGAGAGG